GAAAAGGGGCCATTACACTTTAAAAAACTCCGTAATCCTAACTCCCGCGCTCAAGGCGGACACCTCGGTCATCGTCGTGCATTCGCCGGCGGAGGCCGAGTTTATGCTCCCGGGCTCTCCTTAAGGAACTTAGACTGAGGGGTTTAGGGTTTAGGGTTTAGGGTTTAGGGTTTGGGGTTTGGGGTTTAGGGTTTAGGGTTGAGGGTTTAGGGGCCTTAATAATTAGAACAGGGTTCCTTAAGAGTTCCTTTAAAGGTTCCTTTAAGAGGTACTATAAGGTAAGGTTTTAATATAGGGGCCTTAATAATTAGAATAGGGTCCCTTTAAGGGTTCCTTTAAAAGGGATACTATAAGGGGTATTACAGTATAAGGTTTTAATATAGGGGCCTTAGTACTTAGGAGAAGGTTCCTTTAAGGGTTCCTTTAAAAAAGGGGTACTATAAGGGTTTAATATAGGGGCCTTAATAATTTCAATTGGGTTTTGGGGCCCAGTATACTATACTTGTTAAGGAACCCGCAAAACCCAATTCTAATTATTCAGGCCCCTGCAATAGACTTAGCTGACTTAGCTCAGTTACCAGAAGAAGGAGAAAGTTGTATTCTTCATGTGTAGATCCTTACTTAAGGAGCTTAGCTTCAGTCATCCAGGTGTCTAGACAATGAAAAAGAAAGTAAGTTACAAGTTATAGCATTTACGTATGGATCCCTAACTAGAAGATGTAACTTGTAATTGTGTTTGTAGGTTTCTACTGAAGGAACTCAGTTTAAGTTACCAGAAGAAGGAAAGCATGTTATTTACTTTCGATCTTTAGTACGGTAGCTCAAGAAAACGCCCTAAGCCCTAAACCCTAATCCCTAGTGTGGTATCTTAAGAAAAAGAAACTCATTTAAAAAGAACCCAGGTTTCCACTGGATTGGCAACACAGCACCATTGTGGATGGTGACTTCACGGTGGAAGCAGATCGCGCCACGGTCGTCCAGCTTGGGGAGACTGCCGTGGAGAGCAAGGTCGCATATTTGCAGTTTCATGGCCCCTTGAGCCACTATCGCTTCTATGCTGCCTTGCGGCCCAAGCTGCTGTGCCAGAAGCAGGTCAGCAGAGATGTGGACGAGTTCCTGGAGTACTTTCAGTTTGATACGTTGCGAGAAGCTGCGCAAGACGCCAGCAGTATGAATGCTGCAATGTGTGCCGTGTTGTCCGGCGATGCTCCCATCCTGCGCCGTCTGGCCGAGAACCGTGCGAACATGAACTTTGCTCTGCACGGCCTCAGTGACTTGGGGTTTTATGACACCCAAACCCTCTTGATGGCGGCTGTGAAGTCTCGGCAAGACGGTTCTCTGGTACGAACACTGCTGTCGCTGCGAGCCGACGTGAACGGCCGAGCACGGACCACTTTGCCAGCTCTCTACATGTGCCGGTCAAGCGAGCATGTGAAACTGCTCGTCGAGCATCGGGCAGAGCTGCCAAACTACATTCTGAATGGGGCTGTTTCCTTTGCTGGCCCTGATACAGTCATGACACTGTTGAAACTCCGGTGTGACCCCAACAGCCACGATGGCACGTGGTATGGCCCCTTACATGCCGTAGCTTTGCTTGCACGGAGCAATCGCCATGCCGTCGCAAACGCCAAAGTGTTGCTAGACCACCGTGCAGATGTCAATGCGCGCTGCACGCAGGACGGTTGGTTCTACTGGGAATGCCAGTGGGCTCAACTGCGAGCTGCCATTTACGGCTTTGAGAACTGTAACATGATGACCAAAGAGCGGGCTTCCGTGATTGGCGTTTCACCTCTGGGCTATGCGGCCCTCGTGGGACACACGCAGCTGATTGAGCTGTATTTGGACCGTGGTGCGGAGTGCTATCCCAATGATCGTGGCGACTGGCCGGATGACTTGGCCCGCAAGAACCACCACCATCACCTCATCCCAATGCTCGCCACTTTCCCTACGTAAGTGGTTAGGGTTCCTGTACAGATTCCTGCTGCGTCGCAGTTGCCAGGACCACAACAAGTGGGCAAGAACATGCAGGTGCCTTCTCATAGCCCCCTAAACCCTTAACCCTAAACTCTAAACCCTAAACCCTAAACCCCTAAACCCTAAACTCTAAACCCTGAACCCTAAACCCTAAACCCCTAAACCCTAAACCCTAAACCTCTACTTCCCCCTCATCTTCTCAGGTGGGGAGGCTCCACAGGCTTTCAACAAAGAGCTTCATTATTATGGGTACAAGTTAGTATTATGGGTACTACTAGACTTATGGGCCCCACTGCTCTGGATACCATCCTGGCTGCTATGTTGCATCTTGATGATCCCTCCATAACCCTAAACCCTAAACCCGCCTAAACCCTAAATGAACCCCTAAGCCCTACTGTAAACTCTAAACCCTAAGCCCTAAACTCTAAAGCCTAACCCTAAATCCTAAACCCTAAGCCCTAAACCCTAAACCCTAAACCCTAAACCCTAAACCCTAAACCCTAAACCCCAAACCCTAATGTAAGGTCTGGTCCGCGAGCGATGGAGTTTCTGGGGATAGGTGGCAGCAGCCCAGCCATGACGTGAAGTGGTTCAAGATCACTGTAGGTAGGGGCCTTAGCAGTTAGAATAGGGTTCCTTTAAGGGGTTCCTTTAAAACGGGTACTATAAGGGGTACATAGGGGTACTAGAAGGGTTTAATATAGGGGTCCCGAGGCTGGTCGGGTTATGGTTCAGAGTTTAGGGTCAGGGCTCACGGCTTAGGTTCAGGGTCTAGAGATTAGGGTGTAAGGAAAGCAGCCGCTCAACTCAGGTTTTTAGGGAGCCAGCATGCTGTCAGACACACCCGGCAAATGAGAACAACCCATACTGTTGATGATATAAATCCGGCATTCCCTTAAGGACCCTAAACTATGGGAATTATGTTATATACCTTATTATGGGTAATGCAGGATTTAAATCATCAGCCGTAGCACTAGAGACCCGATCCGCAATGGGCGCTTCCTTCTGCTCGCCTGTCGACGAGCGATGCACTTGCAGCCTTCAGTCCACGATCCATGCATTCCGATTTCCCTTATGGGCTGCACCTCGGCTTGGGCTTAGAGCTCTGGGTGGACTTTGGTGTTTTAGCTGCTGGTGCATGACGGGCTCGGAACCAGGACGCAGTGGTTCGTTGTCAAATGCCTGTGGTCGCACAACAACACAGGGTGAAGAAAGGCAACAGGTGCAAGATCAACATTGCTCCATAGGAAAGAAGCCCTGTCATGCAAGCATCGGTATTGCCGTTTATACACGGCCAATGAACGCTAAGTGGCATCCACGCCGCGAAACGCAAAGTCGGAAAGGGAAGTTGAAATTGGCGAGGAATGCAATGCAGAGCCCCATCTTAACTCCTAAGCGCGAAGCACCCAAAGCCTCACACCCTTCAGTGTACCGAAACCCTCAAGACTGGATACCCTTCAAGAACCTTCATCGTACCCTTATAGCAACCCTGAAGTACGAAACCCGCAAGACCCAGTGCCTCATTCCCTAAACCCTTAAGATCCACAGCCCTAAACACTAAACCCTAAACCCCTAAACTTTAACCCTAAACCCCTAAACCCCTAAACCTTAAACCCCTAAACCCTAAACCCCTAAACCCTAAACGCCAACCAAGAAACCCCTAAACCCCTAAAGCCCTAAACCCCTAAACCCTAAACCCTAAGACCCTGTACCTTCGAGGTGAAGGTTTTCGACTTTGTGACCCATAATCCTAGACCGTAAACCCTCAAACCCCGTAACCGTAAGCCTTAAACCCTTAAGACCCAGAACTACAACCCTAAACCCTCAGCCCTACAAGCCTTAAGATCCGCATGAAGAGTCGAGGTGAAGGTTTCCGACTTCTTGGAGATGCTGGGCCCGCCCCGGCCCCACCACCGGCTGCAGGAGGAGGGCCTGCTGCACGCACCTGGGCTTCTAAGTGTCTGTAAGGGTCCTAGAAGGGTTTAGAGTTTAGGGGTTTAGGTTTTTTTGTCTTTGTGTTGTGTTTTGGGGTTCAGAGCCTTACTTTTAATAGGCTGCACCTGGGCCTGGGTTTCGGGTTTAAGGGTTCCTGTAACGTAGGGGCCTTAATAATAGGGTTTAGGGTTTAGGGGTTTAGGGTTTAGGGTTAACAATAATTACCTATACTCTTTTTGGGGTTCCTTATTATAATGATAGTATAAGGGGCCCCAAAACCCTATTCTAATTATTGTGGCCCCTATAGTAATGGGCTTCGGTAAGGGTACTCGAAAGCTCGAGGGTTAGTTCCTCTTTGTGATATGGCAGGTATTTTTTCAAGTCAGGGCTTTGTGGCTGAGGGTCGTGGGTGTGTAGGGTGTCTCGGCTTAGGTGGTGTAGCGTTTTGGGCACGAACGTATCGCAAATCCTAAACCCCTGTATGGTCTTTAAAAGGTTAGGTTTGGATTGCCAAGGAATGGTTTCCAGGCATGTTCGTGATCTTCACTTCGCACCAGTGGTTGAGTTCCACCCACCCAGATCCACAGGGTCAGCAGATGGAGGTGCTTCAAAAGGCTCTCCGCGGGATGATCGACGGATCGCTGCAAGTGCATGAGGACCTCGTGGCCAGATCCGACAGGATGAACCTGTCCAATACTATTCGTCAGCACATCGCTGAGGGGTTCCTTTTCTTCGATTCTAGCTCGTCCAGTACACCTTCTTTATTTTGGACTGTCTCTGTTACGCTTGAACCACTTGACCAGTAGGAGACAGATTACCCTTATCTTTGGGGGGTTATTCGAAATCCAGGATTGGTTTGCCATCCCTCAGATCACCGTACGGAAGGATGGCGTGAATGAAGAGTCTGTAAAGAGCGCTGCAGCCTTGGCGGTACAAAGCATTCCAGCTTATGTTGAGCTGTCCAATGTATTCATTGCGCTGGTGCCAGAGCTAACGCACAAAGATTCGTCTGCTTTGGTGAACTACGCATCGTGGCTGTCTCGCGGGTGGCTTGGCTTCGTTTGGTAAAACCTTTGCCCAACTTTGCCGGAGACTGCAATCAGGGAAAGACCGAGGTGGTGTCGCGCCGAACTCTGGTGTCGTCTATTGTCAAACAAGATCGACACCACCGTCATCGTGATTCATTCCCCGACCCAAGCCGAGTTTATGTTCCCACTCGACTGGCAGCACAACAGCATCGTGAACGGGAACTTCACTGTGGAATCGGATCGTGCCATCGTCGTGCAGCTGGGAGAGACGGCCGTGGAAAGCAAGATCCAACATTTGCAGGTCCACAATCCATCATGGTTTTCACTCTAGCCGCTGTTTCTCTGTTGCGGATCTTGCCACTGTAGCAGTTTCCTGCTTTTGCTGCAACTCATCATTTAACTCAGAACCTATCTTGCTGATTTTACTGCCTGGGGACTAGTACGATTACTGGGGCTGCTGTGTTTCGCTGGCTTCATGATTGCCCGCTAGACAGGCTAGAGTCTACTACGCCTTGGCTTTAGTGTTCGTTGCCATTCGTCGATGCTGAACTTGCATGGGTTCATTGGCATAGCTTCTCTATTGATGACAATGAATGATTACTGTGATGACTTTCGCTTACACTTGCTGTTGAGAGGCTCAAAACATATGAGCACACCTGGATCTTCCTTAAGCCTTAATACTTAATCCACAAACGCCACTGCGGCTGAAGAAGTGAAGCGAAGGGATTGGTACAACAAAACCAGAACCATAATGCATTCTCGGGGAGAGACCGGCAAGGGATCATCACACTTAAAGAAACCTTACTAGTTGATGAGCCTTGAACCCCCAAATTTACCCTCTGCACCTGCCACTAAGTCCTTTGCCACATTGTCACTCTGCTTCCGGTACGCGATTATCGCTTGGGTTCTTCTTATCTTAGCTCTTCTTAGGATAGTTCCTCCTGCAGGGTCTTATGCTTTTTGTGGTTCTGCCAAATTTTCGGCCCAGTGCTGATTGCAAGTGTCATCGTCCCCACCTTTCCTGTCTCGTCACGCACCTCGAACCTCTTCACCTGTTTAAGCCCTAAACCCTACACCCTAAACCCTAAACCCCAAGCCGTCAGGTCCATGGCCCCTTGCGGGATTGCCGTTTCTACTGCGCCCTGCGGCCGAAGCTCCTGTGCCAGGAACGTGCCGATCGAACGCTGCAGAAGTTTTTGGAGGACCGGTTTAGGGTTTAGGGTTGAGGGTTTAGGGTTTAGGGTTGAGGGTTTAGGGCATCGGGTTTAGGGCCTCTCTGGGCGAAAGGGCTTCTTCTTTACCATGGCAGTTGCAATACGAAGAGGTGCCATGAGAGTGGGATCATAGACCCTAAACCATAAACCCCACCTTAAAGCCAAAACCATGAAACCTTGAGCCCAAAAGCCCCAAACCATAAGCTCCGCAGTTCCAATAGCTTCATGGTCTCTGCCTCTCTCCCTCTGTCTCTCGCTCTCTCTATCTACTGATGCAATATAGTAATATCTATTTATAAATATAAATATATCTAGAAATATGAATATACATGTATAGGTACATACATAATTAATGTCCATATTTTTAACTTACAACATAACAAAGACTAAATGTATGTACATTTACATGTTTGTGCATATCATAGGCCCACACACACACACACACATATATATATATATGTATATGTATATACATTTTAGTTACACATATACACAATCATGCCATTCCGTGCTTCCGAAACACTATTCATTCAGGCCTGTACTATCCGGCCGCTCTCCTTCCTGAGCATCGACGTTTAGGGCTGCAGGGTTTTGGGGGATAGGGTTTAGGGTTTAGGGTTTAGGGTGTAGGGTTTAGGGTTTAGGGTTTAGGGTTTTGGGGGATCGATAGGGTTTAGGGTTTAGGGTTTTTGGGATCTAGGGTTTCTGGTTCGCGCTTTAGGGGGCTTTGCACGCGTAGACGCTCTGGACGGACCATACTGCGAGTGAATGAGTGAGTGAGTGAGTGAGTGAATGGGTTTCTGGTTCGATGTTTGTCAGTGGGTGTTGGGGTCTGGCTAGACGTGAGCCCAGTGGCAAAAGGTTTTCGTTGGTAAGGAGCACCCCCAAATGCCCCCAAGCCCCTTAACCCTCAACCCTAAACCCTTAAACCCTAAACCCTAAATCCTTAAACCCTAAACCCTAAACCATTAAACCCTCAACCCTAAGCCCTACTCCGGTAGTTTAAATAACGCAGGGCTTCGGAGTGCTTGAGGACTTCCGGTTCGGCAGCCTGGAGCAAGCCGTGAAGGATACCAGTTCCCAGGTGTGATCGAGCACGGCTTTCTGAGGGCCTTAGAGGGGTGGCTAACGGTTTGAGAAGGGTTTCAGAAGGTTGTCATTGGGCTTTCTATAGTATGTCGAGCCTTTGTTATCGGATTCTGAACAAAGGCTCAACTTGGTTCTTACAGGTGTTGTTGAGTTTTAAAGGCCGTGGTAGTGAGCTGATGAACGACCCCGAGTCTCTACATGATGCTCTGTACTCTGTAGTTTTGAATTTTGTCATGAGCCTTTTTTAGTGTTATCAAGGCTTATGTTTAGGGGTTTAGGGTTTAGGATTTATTCATAAGCCTCATCGGCAGTCTGAAGGCTTATGTTTTGGAAGTTAGGGTTTTGTGTCTGAATCATGAGGACCCTGGCATTCAGCTTCATCGGGATTATTCCAGCCCCTTAAACCCCGTCCCCCCTGCTCCCTTCGGGTCCTTGTGCTGTGTTGTTTTCAAAGATGTGGGATTGCGATCTATGTAGATTAGGAGCACTAGAAGAAGCAGCATCGGAATTACTCATAGAAGTGGAGTAGGAAGCTCAGGAAAGTTGGCTTACAAGGTTCCTCATATCGTAAGATGCATACCATCTCTGTTCGGTTATTGTTGTTCGACAGGAACTTGCTAAGCTGATGCCGAGGGGTTTTGTAGGTGCTTCGTATTGCTAGAGCAGAAGTTTGCAAGCCTTGCCCAAAAAAGTCTGCTACGGGTTGTCGGTTGCAGAGATGAGGTGGTATGAATGCAGTGATGTGCGCCATACTGTCTGGTGACACTGGCATGTTGCGCTTGTTGGCAGAAAGCAGGGCGGACGTGAGCCGTCCCATGCATGGACTCAACGACCTGGGATACTACGACACACAGACTCCTCTCATGGCGGCGACGAAGTCGCATCAAGACCCGGCTGTGCTGACCACGCTTGTTGAGCTCCGCGCAGATCCCAACGGTCGTGCTAGTAACACGAAGTTGTCGTCCTTATACATGTGCCGATCAGCTGGACACGTGCGGGCGCTGCTGGAACAGAGGGCAGAGCTCGAGCACGCCGCCTTGCACGGTGCCGCAGCTTTAGCTGGTCCAGACACGCTTCGAGAGCTCTTGAGCCGCCAGTGCGATCCGAACCATATCCTAGCTGGGCGACAGGAGCGATTTGGGCCATTGCACGCAGTAGCCTTGTTTTCGCTGAGCAATCGACATGCCGTGGAGGCTGCCAAACTTCTACTGGAGCATCGTGCAGATGTCAATTCGCGCTCCAGTCCATCGGACGAGTTCTTGTGGGAATGCAGGAAGGCCCGCATGCGGGTGGTGGTCCTTGGGTTTGCCAACTGCAACATGATGACTCGCCTGCGGGCCTCCATGCTGCTCGACTTTGCTTCATCACTGGGCTTATCTATACCCTAAACCCTGAACCCTCAGGGCAAAACAGGATTCTACTCACTTTTTTGTTTACCAGTATAGTACAGTATAGCATCGTATCGTATAGTGTAGTTATAGTATAGTATAGTACAACTCTATTGTGTTTTAAGATATGGGGGTTTCCGAAAATAGGGGACCCTAATATAGTACCCTAAATAGTAAGTTCCTTATTATAAGGACCCCAAAATAAGGGCCCCTTATTTTCGGAAACTCCCATATGTTGAGAAGTTGCAAAGCTAAGCTGTGCCAACCCAAGGTCTGGGATCAGCCCACTGGGCTACGCAGCATTGGTCGGCCACGGGCAGCTGACGCAGCTGCTTGGAGCCGTTTATGGGGGGTATTGGGGATTTGAAGGGTTTTAGGGATTTAAAGGGTTTTGGGGATTTAAAGGGTTTTGGGGATTTAAAGGGTTTTGGGGATTTAAAGGGTATTGGGGGTTTAAAGGGTTTAGGGTTTCTGTCCATGAAGCTTTGGAGGGTATGAGGGGCTTAGAGGGTTTAAGGGCAGTAGTGGTTTATAGAGGCCTTAGAGGGTGTTACGTAGGGGTTTAGAGGTTTGAGGTTCGGATGTATAGTGCTAGGCTCATGGGCTCTTCTCCTATGGGTTGGGATGTTACCTTGCCGTGGTTCTTGCATGAAATCGCGGTGTATACTTTAGTACTTGGTAGTATTGGCTCGACATCGGCACTTTGTGCATCGTTCCAGCAGAGGGACAAGTAAGGAGTAGAAGTTTGGGGTTATACTGTTGGGAAGAAAGCTTTGCCCTCGCACGAACGGGCTAAACCCGAACCCTTAAACCATAATCCAGAAACCCTAATACCCTAAACCCTAGTATCCTAATACCCTAAACCTTAAATCCTATTCCCGGCCATTCAGTCGCAAGAAAGTTCCCGAGTTCGCGGTCTTGGGCGATCCAAAAGCCCACGTTTCCACAGTGGTGCGATCCTGATTTGTCACACTATTCCCGGACGTCTGTAACATGGGAGACTAAGTAATTGCCAATACTATTTTTTGGGGTTCCTTATTACATTTGGCTCTTATTAAGCCTCTTTTACTTCTTTCTCCCTATCTTCTCGATACAACCCTATTAAACCTGGGTGGAGACCCTAATTCTAAGAAGTCTCCCAAGTTCCCCTATACACCCGATTGAGCTCCTGAAAAGGGAACCCTTACAGGAACCCTCCACCCCTTAACGGGTCCCCCAAAGCCCGAAACCCTAACCCTAAACCTACACCCCCAACCCTGAACACTAAACCCTAAACCCTCAGCCCCTAAACCCTAAACCCTAAACCCTAAACCCCTAAACCCTAAACCCTGAACCCTAAACCTCCAAAAAGGCTCTTCCTCGACTACGGAGCCGATCCGACTCCGAACGACCGCGGGGACACGCCGGAAGACCTGGCGCGCAGGAACCACCACTACCACCTGATCCCCGGCGCTTGGGTTTAGGGTTTAGGGTTTAGGGATTCTGAAGGGTTCGCGCATTTTGCAGATTTTGTTACCTAGGATTCTGAAAACGGCTTGGGTGGACTCTTTTAGGTCTGCCTCTGCGAGGCCGTTCATTGTCTGGCTTGATCAGCAGAGTTTACCGCAATTTCGGCGAGTTGTTCCCTACTTCGTTACAAGACGACTTACAGGCCACCTGCTAAAGCACTCGGGGTCTCCAAGCTCGTGTGAGATTCCTGTAGAAGCCTTAATCATTAGAATAGGGATTTGGGGTTCTTTATAGTGTAAGTATAATAAGGAGCCCTCAAAGCAGTATAGGTAATTATTGAAGCCCCTACATGGCATGCCCCGTTGCACTGGAAGTTTGAATGTTCTGGGGCCGCAACGAAGGATCCCGATGCTTGCGACCTTCGCCACCTGATGCCCCAAAGGCAGAACTTTGGCCACCTGTGCCAGCTGATGTGGGGATGAGCGGCGAGCGTTGAAGACAGCCGGAACCGAAGATGGCGGAAGCCTTCTTGTAGCGCCCGGCCTGCCCCGAATCTTTTGCCAGAAGAAGGCGGTGCGCCAGCAGCGCAACGATGAACTGAAGTGGTTCAAGCTTAGCCGCCCACCTGTGTCTCACGGCTTATCCTAGGCGTCACGAGCAAGTCGAGGGTGACAGCCGAAGCGCTTACGAAGCAACCGCTCAACTGAGGTGTTACGATTGCGAGCAGAAGCATGGTGTAGGAGTTTACGGTTTGGGAGTGAGCATCAGAGACGACTCACAAACAGTCCAAACGGCCAAACCCTAAACCTGATTAAGCCCAAAGCCTTACACCTGAAGCCCTAGCCCCTGAACGGCAAACCGGCTTCACAATGCTCGAGCTTTTTTTGCAAAGTGAGCCTATGTGGAGCCCCAGGGCGAGAAAACGATACCATGCCTGCCGGCCCTTGGGCACTTTGGAAGCTTCCCAAGAGCAAAAACGAATACCGGAGGCCTCGCACGCGCTCACCGTTTGAGAAGTGGCACTCCGGAAAAGTCAAGGTCCATCCTGCCCCCCCAGAGCTTTCTCGATTTGGGGAACCCGCCAAAACAGCCGACCATTTCTGAGGGCTTCTCAGTTCCTCAGCACAAGCCGACGTCTTGGGATTCTATCTTCTGTGTAGATTTTGGGCTGGGTTCCTGGCTCCTTCCGAAGAAGTTCTTTCTCTCGTCGAAATCTGGCAGTTTTCCTAGCTCCCCGACCAAACCTTGCATTTCCTTGCCCGCACTCCGTGTCCTGGTCGGACACGGCGGCGAGAGCTTCGTTGGCAAGTCTGCGCGGGACCTTTTTCGTCTAAACCGGCGTGTCCACCCACAATGAAAGGCAAGCGGTGCAACTTCCGTTTCCGCATCCCCGATTTGCCGGGTGTTTCCAGGCACGAACTGGCTCCTCGGGGCCGAATTCTTGGCCTTCTGTGTGGCTTTCCAGGACGAACAAATTCTGGGCATTTGCTGGCTCCTTCCGGGATAATCCTGGGTCAGGTCCTTTGCTGTATCTTGGTTTTAAGGGAGTGGGCTTTTGGAAAGCGTCGCTCATAGAAAGGGCAACTTCACACGAAGCCCACAGTAGAAAATCAAGTCGACCATGTCGCAGACCATGCCGACATAGAAGACCCATTTAAACTACCGCCGCCTATGTCTGCTTGTCATGCCATCCGCCAGGACGGCCATACGAAATTCTGTCGATGTTCGGCTTTCTCTGGCTTTTTTTCGACGTTCCCGCGTTCCAATGCAGTCTCGCAGAAAGCAAACATTTTTTGTCGACGTTCATCCGACATTGCCGGTGTACCGACGAGTGCCATCGATAGTCACAATAGGATTTCAGGACCCATAGATTGGGCTGCCTGGTACGGAGAGCAATAAGGATAAGGATCCTCCACGTTTTAACAACCCTAAACCTTACACCCTCAACCCTGTACCCTAAACCCTGAACCCCCAACACCGGAAAGCATGGGCGCTTCGCTTTGCTCGCCGGTCGACGAGCGATGCACCTGCAGCCTGCAATCCACGATCCACACATGCAGATTCCCCCTGTGGGCAGCACCTCGGCTTGTGTTTAGCGGTGGGTGCTTTTGTCAGTTCTTGGCGCAGAGTCAAACTATGCCAGGGTTTCCAATTTAGGATACAACAAAGCTTTTCCACTTGTCACAGAAGGGGTCTGACTCATGTTAGATAGAAGCTTACATGATTGCCAGTAGCCTTCCTTAGGGCTCCTTTTCTTATTGTTACAATAAAACACACCCCAGACCCTGTTCTGATGATGAGGGCACTTACATTACAACATCAGCGAAACCGCCAATATGTAAGTCTTGCAGCTACCAAGCACTCATTCCCACTGGAACTGGGCTATCAGGGTCCTAAACCTTAAACCTAAACCCCAAAAACACCCAAGCCCCAAAACCCTGAACCCCTAAACCACCCTAAACCTCGAAACTTAGCCATTTTGGCTCAAGCCAACAGGCCCGAGATTTCCGGATATTGTTTCCAAGACGGCTGCGGAAAGCAACGAGCGAGAACAAATGTATTTAAAAGTGCTCCGGCTCAGAAGCTCAAGCCCTCTAAGCTACCTTCGACTCCGAACCCTCGGAACCTGCTGACGGCCAGGGAGCCTGTGTGGCTTAGGCGAGAGAGGGTTTAGGGTTTTGGGGTGTGCAGTTTAGGGTTATATAGGGGTATAGGGTTGAGGGTCCAGGGTTTAGAGCTCTTGAAGCGCGTTAGCTGCCGCAGTCTTGAGCCTTCGCCCTGATCCGAGTATTGGTGCCCGGAAAGATATTGGGTTTGTTGATCGCTGGCCTGCACCAAGCCCAAACAGAAACCCCAAGAACCCGAAGCCCGCAGCCTGAAACTCGACACCGCCTGGACTCCTAGAGCCCCAGCCCCTGAGCCCCGAAACCCTCAAGATCAGGCTCCCCCCACTTTCCTAAGCCCTTAAATCCAAAACCCTCAAGATCGACGAGAACCCTTAACCCTTATAGTACCTTGATAGCAAGGCTGACGTGTAAAGCCCTTAAGACCCTTTACCTTCGAGTTGAAGCGTTTCCGACTTCCCTAAACCCTCAAACCCTAAACCGTAGCCATTTTGGCTCAAGCAACAGCAAGAACCGGACACGTGACAATCTTCCTTTCTTCTTTCTGGGACTAGACACATCTGTCAGTCTTTGAGTCTTTGTCTCCAGGTAGCAACAAAGCATCAAAGTGGACATGGGCGCTACTTCATCAGACGGTAAGGGTCCGACGATAACATCAGAACGTCCGAAGCAATTCTCAGTGAAGTCTCAACCTGATAGAACGCTTTGGCAGAAGCATGTTTCGGCTCAGCCTCTTGTTCTAGATGAGATTCGTGAGGAGGAGGAAGAGAGTCATGAAGAATCGGCGGCGGAAGCTGCACCCGAACGTCCGATCACACAGTTCCCTGACCCGAATCTCTTAGGAAGATTCTTCTCAAACCTCTGATTAGTGATGATGGATGGCTCGTTCCCAAAAGTTGGTGACGATGCACAAAACAGAGTGAACCCAATGACCGTGTCTTTTGTGATGCGTTCACAGCAGTGCTGTTGTTTGCTCCCGAAGAGGTTATCGCAAACACCATCGACCTCATGCAGAAACGTAATGAGTCACAGGAGGGGTCAGGACTGTGGGTAGCTGGCTGCTTCGGAGAGGTGTGTAAACTTTTTTCAGGGAAGGCAGGTACGAGGTTCGGTGTGGCCCCTGCAAGCACCTAAGGTGTTCTACGCTAGAGGGCTCCCACATGCGGGGTTCCGCGCAACTAGCAGAGTCGTTCTTGCAGCCTTTACGACCCAACTCCGCAAACTGGGCTTCAACCTTCTCCCCAAGCCTAACAGCCCGCAGGTTTCTCCACCACCCCAGAAGAGATTGAGACAACTCTCTTTGCGTGAGTTCATGGCCCTGTGCCCTGAAGCCCATGAGACCATCGAGGTCTTTGATAGCCATGTATGACTAGTCGCAAAACAAAGATGTTAGTCCTAGACCTTCAGAAGGTCCTGATACACTGCCGGAGTCTGGAGGCTCGCCCAAAACACTATGTGGATTCCCTCACCGGGAGCATGTATTTCCAAGAACAAACATGCTGTCTGTCTGTTGGCGAGGTGCTGGATGCTGAGGTGAGACACGAGCTGGGGCAAGTCGATGCTATGCCAGAATGAAGTAGCCAGGTGCCAGATGGCCCATCCGGGGAATCCAGACACAATGCTGGTTCCTAATGGCCGACCAACTGCTAGAAGAGTGCCGCGACAATGGACACCCACGGCCTCGAGCAAAGGCTATCTGCCGGAGGATGCAGACGGCGACTGACAGACACATGCCTGGCATGCCATGAATTCATATATTGCATGGACGGAGCAACAAATTTGGCATGATGGTAGCATGCTGCATGCTGCGACAATGGACAGGCACACAGCACAGCCTACAAAACCCCTGGTTTTTGGAGGGTTTCTGGTGTGGACAAAGGAGCTGCCTGCATCATGATGCAAGTCCGTGCATGGTGCGAGGAATTCATAGTACAGGGACGACACAACAGTCGACCTGGACACGCACTTTTCTGCATGTGTATGAAGATGGGGTGGGAGCCAGCGAGCAAGCAAGCTGTCGACCGGCCTCGGCTGCATGATGATTTTGCTTGGTGTTTTTGCATGGGTACCGGCAGTGGCAACAGAAGAGCTTCACTGATCTGGAAAATGAATTATTGGAAGGAGTTTATGGTTTGCGAAGTACAATACATGAGAAATGCAGGCGCGAGGGAATTTGCTGCAAGGTGCGGGGCACACACGATTGGATGCCCTACATGTCTGGCTAGAGCACTGCGCTTTTTATCCGCTCAGCTGCGCAGATAGGATGTTACACTAAGTAGCAGGGCAGAGTGTGACGTGTCCAGTTTATCGTCGCTGAGTTATGATTATCAAGCCCCAGCTCTGCTTAGGAACGTGCCGTAGCAGTAAGACCACATGCCATAGGGTCGAGGCAACCCCACAGTTTGTGATGTGTTTACTGTCTCGCTCCTCTGTTTTGTCATCTTTGTCTATCAAAAGATGCCTATGAAACCTAGAGCCGTAGTTTCACGTGGATGTGTTTTCCTTGAAGTTGAGACTTGCATTGCTGCTGAATTGTTGGTGACGCTTGTAATCTGCAAGCTCGCCAGACTGTGCTCGTGAGGAGCACACAAACATGGTGCTCGAGGTGCATCGCTCGGGATTGTCGGGCTTGAGGTGCGTGGGTGAGTTGGCTGTGTGCAAGATGCCGTCGTGCCTCTAGCTACTGACCTCGGGCCACACGTGCCTGCCTTCAAACCTGACAAGCCTCGCCTGCATCGTTCGAGTCGCGAAAGTTTAAACCCCGACGACCCATATTCCTAAACCGTAAACCCTCAAGACCCGTAACCG